TCTTCTCGCGGCCCTGCGACTTACTTACCACCACCACAACAACCACCACCACAACCACCACTACCACCACCACCACCACAACAACCACCACCACAACCACCACTACCACCACCACCACCACCACAACAACCACCACCACAACCACAACCACCACCACAACAACCACCACAACAACCACCACCACAACCACCACTACCACAACCACCATCACAACCACCACAACCACCACCACTGCCCAGTGCCGGATGATCCTCGTAGCAAAATTGGCTACACATGTAGTAGTAGCTACTACATTTGTAGTAGCTACTACAACACATGTAGTAGCTACTACATGTGTAGTAGTAGCTACGGGCCCCGCACTTTCAAGGCCCCCGCGCTAAACGCTCTCAAGCTGTCAACTCCGGTTCAGTGATTCTACACTTGCTCTATCACTATAGTACTATACCGCCTTCAACTTTTACGAACGACCCGGGTGTTTGAGGTTAGCGATTTGTCGTATTATCTGTGGCTGTATAGCAAATGAAAAATACAATTACTTTACAGTGCAAGTAAAAAATGTATGTTTTAATATTTACGTGTTTTTAAAAATTTAGTTCCCCTTCATAACATCATGCTACAGGCCCCGCACTCGCTTCATCCGGCACTGCCACGGCCCAATAAAATAAAAATCTCTCCGCTCGCTCTCTGGGCAATTCGATTGACCGCGAACGGGAAACGAAATAAAACGACGACCCATAGGAAATAAATAAATAGCCCACCCACCCCGTCCCCCGTTCCCCCGTTCCCCCCGTCCATACATCGGCAAAGATCCCTCGTACAGCCTGCAACAGACTGTTGGGGCAAGTGCCGTTAGCGAGCAGCACCTGTGAAGGCCGGAACGGCGCACGAGGGGGTGGATGGCCGCCTTTGTCTCCCCAGTCGCGATGCTTTTAACACACCGCACCAGGTACTCATTTGAGGCTGAGTCGACCTAAGGGAGGCCAAGGACCGGTTCAGATAATCGTTACCGGTCGGGTTAGCGCTACGCTGCGCTAACCCGAGTTCGATTCCCGCTCCACCGCTACACCACTGCTTCCACACACGCACACACGCACACACACATACACACACACGTACACACATACATACACACGTACACACATACACACGTACACACACACACATACACACGCACACGCACGTACACACACACACGTACACGCACACACGCACGCACACACACGCACGCACACATACGCACGCATACACACGCACACACACGTATACACACGCAAACACACGTATACACACGCACACACACGTATACACACGTACACACACACACACGTAAACACACACATACACACACGTACACACGCATACACCCGTACACACACATACACACGCACACACACATACACACACATACACACATACACACACGTACACACGCATACACACGTACACATACACACACACACATACACACACGCACACACACACATACACACACGTACACATACACACGTACACATACACACACACACAACGCACGCGCGCTCTGCGCGTCACCTGTCGACCCTCCGCCGAACAAAAAAAAAGGCTCAAGACATCGTCAACGCCGCCACCAGCAATGGAAACAACCCGACACAGAAACACCGAGCAACCATCATCATCATCAACAGCATCATCATCAATATCAACATCGTCGTCGTCACCATCATCACGAGCGGCAGCAGCGGCAGCAGGAGGCGCAGCGTGTTGAGACATGACGGAAGGAATTAGCGGCCAATTCGAGCAACGTTCCCATGGGTTCCCTTGTCCTAAGCTGCCTACTCCCTCCCCGTTCGCCCGTCCTAACCTCCACACACCCCCCCCCCCCATCCCCTGCCAATGTCTCAGACCCGGGGACACAACTCTGGCAGGGATAATTTTAGCAGCGACCCAGTGGCGATTCTGGAACATTGTCAACGGTGTGCTGGTGGGGGTGGTGACTGGGCTGGTGAGTGGGGTGGTGAGTGGGGTGGTGGTTGGGGTGGTGATTGGGGTTGTGAGTGGCGTGGTGAGTGGGGTTGTGAGTGGGATGGTGAGTGGGGTGGTGAGTGGGGTAGTGAGTGGCATGGTGAGTGGGATGGTGAGTGAGATGGTGAATGGGGTGGTGAGTGGGGTGGTGAGTGACATAGTTAGTGGGATGGTGAGTGGGGTGGTGAGTGGGAGGGTGAGTGCATGGTGCGTGGGGTGATGAGTGGGGCGGTGAGTGGGGTGGTTTGCCACGCCTACTAATTCACAGGTTGGCCCAAAAATCGGACCACCGTGTATAATAATAACCCGATGTGTCCTGACTTTTGGAGCACCCTGTATAATAATAACCCCTATGTGTCCTAACTTTTGGGCCACCCTGTATAATAATAACCCTATGTGTCCTGACTTTCGGGCCACCCTGTATAATAATAACCCTATATGTCCTAACTTTTGGGCCACCCTGTATAATAATAACCCTATGTGTCCTGACTTCTGGGCCACCCTGCATAATTATAAACCTATGTGTCCTAACTTTTGGGCGACGCTGTATAATAATAACTCCTATGTGTCCTAACTTTTGGGCCACCATGTATAATAATAACTCCTATGCGTTCTGATTTTTGGGCCACCCTGTATAATAACAACCCTATTTGTCCTAACTTTTGGACCACCCTGTATAATAATAACCCTATGTGTCCTGACTTTTGGACCACCCTCTACAATAACAACCCTATGTGTGTTGACTTCTGGGCCACCCTGTATAATAACAACCCTATGTGTCCTGACTTCTGGGCCACCCTGTATAATAACAACCCTATGTGTCCTTACTTTTGGGCCACCCTGTATAATAACAACCCTATGTGTCCTGACTATTGGTCCACCCTGTATAATAACAACCCTATGTGTCCTAACTTTTGGCCCACCCTGTATAATAACAACCCTATGTGTCCTGACTATTGGGCCACCCTGTATAATAATAACCCTATGTGTCCTAACTTTTGGGCCACCCTGCATAATAACAATCCTATGTGTCCTGACTTTTGGGCCACCCTGTATAATAACAACCCTATGTGTCCTGACTGTTGGGCCACCCTGTATAATAACAACCCTATGTGTCCTAACTTTTGGGCCACCCTGTATAATAACAACCCTATGTGTCCTGACTTTTGGGCCACCCTGTATAATAACAACCCTATGTGTCCGGACTTTTGGACCACCCTGTATAATAACAACCCTACGTGTCTTGACTTTTGGGTCACCCTGAATAATAATAATAACCCTATGTGTCCTAACTTTGGGGCCACCTTGTATAATAACAACCCTATGTGTCCTGACTTTTGGGCCACCCTGAATAATAACCCTATGTGTCCTGACTTTTGGGCCACCCTGTATAATAATAACCCCTCTGTGTCCTAACTTTTGGGCCACCCTGTATAATAATACCGCTATGTGTCCTGACTTTTGGGCCACCCTGTATAATAACAACCCCTATGTGTCCTGATTTTTGGCCCACCCTGTATAATAATAACCCTATGTGACCTGACTTTTGGCCCACCCTGTATAATAATAACCCTATGCGTCCTGACTTTTGGGCCACCCTGTATAATAACAACCCTATTTGTCCTAACTTTTGGGCCACCCTCTATAAAAAATAACCCCTATGTGTCCTGACTTTTGGGCCACCCTGTATAATAACAACCCTATGCGTCTTAACTCTTGGGCCACCCTGTATAATTATAAACCTATGTGTTCTGACTTTTGGGCCACCCTGTATAATAACAACATTATGTGTCCTGACTTCTGGGACACCCTGTATAATAACAACCCTATGTGTCTTAACTCTTGGGCCACCCTGTATAATTATAAACCTATGTGTTGTGACTTTTGGCCCACCCTGTATAATAACAACCCTATTTTTCCTAACTTTTGGGCCACCCTCTATAAAAATAACCCCTATGTGTCCTGACTTTTGGGCCACCCTGTATAATAATAACCCTACGTGTCCTAACTTTTGGGCCACCCTGTATAATAATAACCCTATGTGTCCTGACTTTTGGGCCACCCTGTACAATAACAACAAATGTGTCCTGACTTCTGGGCCACCCTGTATAATAACAATCCTATGTGTCCTGACTATTGGCCCACCTTGCATATTAATAACCCTACGTGTCCTAACTTTTGGGCCACCCTGTGTATTAACAACCCTATGTGTCCTAACTTTTGGGCCACCCTGTATATTAACAACCCTATGTGTCCTGCATTTTTTGACCACCCTGTATAATAATAACAACCCTATGTGTCCTGACTTGTGGGCCACCCTGTATAATAATAAACCCTCTGTGTCCTGACTTTTGGGCCACCCTGTATAATAACAACCCTATGTGTCCTGACTTTTGGGCTACCCTGTGTACCTTGCTCTACTTGGGGCAGCGCTGTTGGCGCGTAGGGATACTGACGATGAACGATGGCGACGGTGACAAGCGGTGTCCATGTGCACGACAGCCGCGTGGGGGTGACGGGTGCGGAAACTCTCAACGCCTCCATTCTCCTGCCACGCTGGGGGCAGCAAATCTGCGTTGGCGCGGCGCTTGGCCACACCGCCTCCCGTAGACTCCCGGCCGTCACCAACCCTCACCGTGACCCCGCCTTGCCCAGCCACACTGTCGCTTGTGGTTCTTCAAGAGCTGCTTCGCCGCTTCTCGCACAGCAGGCGTCGCTCTTCAACTCCGGTAAGGGAGAGAAGGGGGCGGTGGTGGGGGCCCGCGGAGGGGGGGGGTGCTGGGGGCCGTGCCCCCCCCCCCACCCCACCCCCGTCAGTGAGGGGGTAGCCAGAAAGCCAGAACCCCTTTTTCTAGCGACAGGGGGCACCCACAAGCCGCGCGAGCCGAGTCCCGTTCCATCTTTCCTGGGCCGTGGTTTTGGAATCCGTGCCGGGTCTTCGAATGCGCCCACGGCAGGTGACGCTAACAGCAGCGGAGGGGGGGGGGGTGATCGCAGGCCGGGCCGCGTGGGATTTAAACAAAGAGGCGTGCTGGATTTGCCCGGACTGGACTCGCCGCTATCTGTAAAATATCTAAATATATCGTGATCTGCAACGGAGCTCACGTGTGCTTCTCTGTGTGTGTGTGCAGTACGCCAAGGATCCAGTGACTGTCGGGTGAAAGCCGAGTGGCAGGTGAGTCGTAAGTGGTGAGCATCCCGTTGATGGTCTGGTGAGTGATGGCTGATGAGTATCAGGTGTAAGATGTGAGTGGTGAGTGACAGGTGAGTGACAGGTGAGTGGTGAGTGACAGGTGATTGGTGAGGGAGTGGTGATTGGTGAGTGTGGTGAGTGGTGAGGGTGTGGTGAGTGGTGAGGGTGTGGTGAGTGGTGAGTGACAGGTGAGTGGTGAGTGACAGGTGAGTGGTGAGGGTGTGGTGAGTGGTGAGTGACAGGTGATTGGTGAGTGTGGTGAGTGGTGAGTGACAGGTGAGTGGTGAGTGTGGTGAGTGGTGAGTGACAGGTGAGTGGTGAGTGAAAGGTGAGTGGTGAGGGTGTGGTGAGTGGTGAGTGACAGGTGAGTGGTGAGTGACAGGTGATTGGTGAGGGTGTGGTGAGTGTAAGTGGTGAGTGACAGGTGAGTGGTGAGTGTAAGTGGTGAGTGACAGGTGAGTGGTGAGGATGTGGTGAGTGTAAGTGGTGAGTGACAGGTGTGAGGTGTGTGTGAAAGTGGTGAGTGTAAGTGGTGAGTGACAGGTGAGTTGTGAGTGTAAGTGGTGAGTGTAAGTGGTGAGTGACAGGTGAGTGGTGAGTGTAAGTGGTGAGTGTAAGTGGTGAGTGACAGGTGAGTGGTGAGTGTAAGTGGTGAGTGACAGGTCAGTGTTGAGGATGTGGTGAGTGTAACTGGTGAGTGATAGGTGAGTGGTGAGGATGTGGTGAGTGTAAGTGGTGAGTGACAGGTGAGTGGTGAGTGTAAGTGGTGAGTGTAAGTGGTGAGTGACAGGTGATTGGTGAGGGAGTGGTGATTGGTGAGTGTGGTGAGTGGTGAGGGTGTGGTGAGTGGTGAGGGTGTGGTGAGTGGTGAGTGACAGGTGAGTGGTGAGTGACAGGTGAGTGGTGAGGGTGTGGTGAGTGGTGAGTGACAGGTGATTGGTGAGTGTGGTGAGTGGTGAGTGACAGGTGAGTGGTGAGTGTGGTGAGTGGTGAGTGACAGGTGAGTGGTGAGTGAAAGGTGAGTGGTGAGGGTGTGGTGAGTGGTGAGTGACAGGTGAGTGGTGAGTGACAGGTGATTGGTGAGGGTGTGGTGAGTGTAAGTGGTGAGTGACAGGTGAGTGGTGAGTGTAAGTGGTGAGTGACAGGTGAGTGGTGAGGATGTGGTGAGTGTAAGTGGTGAGTGACAGGTGTGAGGTGTGTGTGAAAGTGGTGAGTGTAAGTGGTGAGTGACAGGTGAGTTGTGAGTGTAAGTGGTGAGTGTAAGTGGTGAGTGACAGGTGAGTGGTGAGTGTAAGTGGTGAGTGTAAGTGGTGAGTGACAGGTGAGTGGTGAGTGTAAGTGGTGAGTGACAGGTCAGTGTTGAGGATGTGGTGAGTGTAACTGGTGAGTGATAGGTGAGTGGTGAGGATGTGGTGAGTGTAAGTGGTGAGTGACAGGTGAGTGGTGAGTGTAAGTGGTGAGTGTAAGTGGTGAGTGACAGGTGAGTGGTGAGTGTAAGTGGTGAGTGTAAGTGGTGAGTGACAGGTGAGTGGTGAGTGTAAGTGGTGAGTGACAGGTGAGTGGTGAGTGTAAGTGGTGAGTGACAGGTCAGTGTTGAGGATGTGGTGAGTGTAAGTGGTGAGTGACAGGTGAGTGGTGAGTGTAAGTGGTGAGTGTAAGTGGTGAGTGACTGGTGAGTGGTGAGTGTAAGTGGTGAGTGTAAGTGGTGAGTGACTGGTGAGTGGTGAGTGTAAGTGGTGAGTGTAAGTGGTGAGTGACTGGTGAGGGTGTGGGACGATCAAAGGGCCGTGTGAGTGCCCGGCGCAAGGAAATCAGAATCAGAATGTTTATTTATAGTTGAGGAATCCGATGAGCTATAAAGCTCTTTTCCACAGATGTCCAGTAGCTTCACAGATGACTGCTTGATGTTGTCTTTAATTTGTTGTCCTGTCCCCGCACCTCCGATTAACACGGTTTGACTAGGTACGGTGTGAAAGAAGTTCAACATCCATAGACTCAACACAGAGCTTGTATTGCGTGTTGTTGCAACCTCCCTACTAGAGATCTGTGATTAAAGAGCTTCATGGCTCATCGGATTCCTCATGCAGTCTCAAATAAATATTCACGTTCTGCCATCGCGGGATCGTGGCAGCCTGCGGCCAGTCCCCTTTGTGTAGGGAGGTCTTCATCCAGCAGTGGATTGACAACGGGCCGTACATTATTGATGAACTATCTCGTCTTGCAAATTATATGATAATGTTGCGTTTAGGCTAATGGGGGGAGGGGGGAGGGGGTGAACGGAAGGATACGAACGCACCAGACTGTAAATTGAGATTTACAAAAAGAAAAATCCATATTTTACTCCATTGACAGTCCATCATTGTGGGCGGCAGTGGATTGCAGGATGGCGAATCGTTCCATAGCTCGCACAGCTGACGATCACGCACAGCTGACGGTCACGCATAGCTGACCATGCACAGCTGACCATGCACAGCTGCTGTTCACGCGCAGCTGCTAATCACGCACTGCTCCTGATCACGCACAGCTGATGATCACGCACAGCTGCTGATCACGCACAGCTGCTGATCACGCACAGTTGATGATCACGCACAGCTGATCATCACGCACAGCTGAGGATCACGCACAGCTGATGATCACGCAGAGCTCCTGATCACGCACAGCTGATGATCACGCACAGCTGATGATCACGCACAGCTGATGACGGCGCTCTCCTTGGTGCTGAACGCGCTCGCACCGACTGACAGTTGCAGATGTAGAGCCGCACTCCCACACACTGGAGCGATCGGGTCACGTGCAACTGAATGTATTGTACGGACGTCTTTACAAACCGGTAGCGAGAGGTTAACTACCTCGCCTGGTGTACAGGAGGGCGTGGGTTCGATCCCGACCCTGACGCCTGCTGTTTTATTGGGGGTTTGCGTGTCTCTCTCTCATCATCATCACGGTGGCTAGGAGATGTTAACTACCTCGCCTGGTGTACAGGAGGTCGTGGATTCGATCCCGACCCTGACGCCTGCTGTTTTATTGGGGGTTTGCGTGTCTCTCTCTCATCATCATCACGGTGGCTAGGATATGCTAACTACCTCGCCTGGTGTACAGGAGGTCGTGGGTTCGATCCCGACCCTGACGCCTGCTGTTTTATTGGGGGTTTGCGTGTCTCTCTCTCATCATCATCACGGTGGCTAGGAGATGTTAACTACCTCGCCTGGTGTACAGGAGGTCGTGGGTTCGATCCCGACCCTGACGCCTGCTGTTTTATTGGGGGTTTGCGTGTCTCTCTCTCATCATCATCACGGTGGCTGGGAGATGTTAACTACCTCGCCTGGTGTACAGGAGGTCGTGGGTTCGATCCCGACCCTGACGCCTGCTGTTTTATTGGGGGTTTGCGTGTCTCTCTCTCATCATCATCACGGTGGCTATGAGATGTTAACTACCTCGCCTGGTGTACAGGAGGTCGTGGGTTCGATCCCGACCCTGACACCTGCTGTATATTTGGAGTTTACGTGTCTCTCTCTCATCATCATCACGGTGGCTAGGAGATGTTAACTACCTCGCCTGGTGTACAGGAGGTCGTGGGTGATGATGATGATGATGATGTTGAGGGAGAGAGACACGCAGACTTTAATACACAGCAGGCGTCAGGGTCGGGATCAAACCCACGACCTCCTGTACACCAGGCGAGGTAGTTAACATCTCCTAGCCACCGTGGCGTCCCATGTCGTTCTATTGCAGACAGCTCAGAGGCAAGAGAGAGAGAGAGAGTCATAGGCAGTAGAGAAAGGCGGTCGTTTGAACCTGGACTTAAACGGGACGCAGGCAGTCGTCGGCACGGATGTGTGGAGGATTACGAGGCGCTGGAGGGATGCTGGGATTAGGGAACGGGGTGGAGAGACAGTGATCTGGTTATCGGGGGTTGATGTTTGTCGTTTTCCTTGTTCTTAACTTCAAAAGGAAGTGCCGCGAACTGTGATGCGAGCGAGCGAGCGCGGCGAGGCTCAGCGCGCGTGGGGGGGGGGGTTATTTTATTTAAAAAAGTATCTCTTCTTTTAATTAACCACGAAAACGACGCGAACCCTAGCAATGGTTGTTCTTGCTGCTGTCGCCGTCGTCGTTAGCGATGCTTCAAACGCCGTGGCTCACAAACGCGGCGGCCTCCGCAGGAACGCGGAGGAGATAAAAGCGCTTCGTCTGCCAGATCGCGTCTCCTGTGATGAAGATTTCAACAGGGAGGGGGGGGGGAGGGGGGGGAGGGCATTGTTGCACCACCCCCCCCCCCCATGCCCCCCCCCCCGTCCTCGCTCCACGAATAACGCGCCACACACACGGGGAGCCATGAGATTGTTAATTCCCTCGCCTGGTACGCAGGAGGTCGTGGGCTCGATCCCGGACCCTGACGATAGATAGGCCTGCTGTGTATTTGGAGTTCGTGTGTTCGTTTCTCCTCGCCCTCCTCTCTCTCTCTCCCCCTCTCTCTCCCCCCCTCTCTCTCTCCCCTCTCTCTCTCCCCCCTCTCTCTCTCTCTCTCCCCCTCTCTCCCCCCCCTCTCTCTCCTCTCTCTCCCCCCCTCTCTCCCCCCTCTCTCTCCTCTCTCTCTCCCCTCTCTCTCCCCCCTCTCTCTCTCCTCTCTCTCCCCTCTCTCTCTCTCCCCTCTCTCCCCCCCTTCTCTCTCTACCCCGTCTCTCTCTCCCCTCTCTCTCTCTCCCCCCTCTCTCTCTCCTCTCTCTCCCCCCTCTCTCTCTCCTCTCTCTCTCTCTCCCCTCTCTCTCCCCCCTCTCTCCCCCTCTCTCTCCTCTCTCTCCCCCCCCTCTCTCTCTCCCCCCTCTCCCTCTCTCCCCTCTCTCTCTCCCCTCTCTCTCCTCTCTCTCTCCCCCTCTCTCTCCCCCCTCTCTCTCTCCCCTCTCTCCCCTCTCTCTCTCTCCCCTCTCTCTCTATCTCTCCTCTCTCTCCCCCCCCTCTCTCTCTCACCTCTCTCCCCTCTCTCT